CAGCAGCCGAGGCTGCAGAAGATGCTGGGTTAGGGTTTGATGGAGGGACTGCGTTGCTTTGCTGAGCTGTCACCTCTTGATGTTTCTGCAATTGTGGCAAGTTGTTGACTCGGGCAAGCAATGCATTTATCTGATTGCCTGTTAACGTCTCGTGCTCGAGCAAAGCATTTGCAAGGGCATGATGCTCCTTGTCGTAAGTTGTGAGAATGTTCTTCGCATTGTTATAGGCCCTTTCCAAAAGGTGTTTCACCTCTTTCTCGATGAGAAGCCTTGTCTCAGTGCTCATGCTCTTGCCGTTGTCATCGTAGTTATGTGTCACAAGACCCACCTCTTTGCTCATACCGAATTTCGTGACCATTGCTCTTGCGAGGTTAGTCGCTTTCTCAAGGTCAGAAGAAGCACCTGAAGTGACCTCGTTTTCACCGAAAATCAACTCTTCTGCTACCCGACCTCCCATGCAAACGTCAAGCAGAGCAAGCATCTGTTTCCTGGATGTGCTTGTTTCATCTTTTTCCGGCAATTGAGAAACCATGCCGAGAGCCATACCACGGGGCACAATGGTGGCTTTGTGGACTGGAAGAGCACCCTCTGTGTGGATGGCAACCAGGGCATGACCACCCTCATGGTAGGCAGTCAATTTTCTCGACTCATCAGAGATAACTGCTGATTTCCGTTCACTTCCCATCATTATCCTGTCCTTGGCAAACTCAAGATCAGCCATTGTCACGGCTTTTGCACCATCCATTGCAGCTTTAAGAGCAGCAACATTTACCAGGTTCGCCAAATCAGCACCAGAAAACCCAGGCGTTCCTCTAGCAATAATCATCAGATCGACATCTTCAGCCTTTAGGACCTGCAACGCAATAAAGACGATCAACCCAAAAAACAAATAACATAGAAATCCCCAAAGAATAAACTTCCAGTTGAAACCAGTTAAACAGCCATGAAAAACTGTAACCAAATATGACATGTCTTCCAAATCCCCAACAAGAAAACCCGTGTCACACAGATCATGAATGGTAACATTTACTAAAAACCTCCACATCTCTTTATTAAAACCAAAAGATACCCTTTTCCTCGTGTTTTTGCTAAATAGCGGGGTACGACTTAAATTTGTCAATTATAAGAAAAACAATGCTACTTCTTTTTCTTGAGGTTCAATGTACAATAGTTCTCAATACTGGACTTTTCCAGGACCCAGTAACATGCACTTCCAAGACATGCCGTCACCATCTATGGGAGCAAATAGAATAATTACCTTGGACATGTGAGACTCCAAAATCTGGCGTCGGCCTTCCACGTCTGGGTTTGGTACAACAATGTGGCGATCGAACCTCCCAGGTCTCACCAGGGCCTTATCCAATGTCTCAGGGAAATTTGTTGCTGCAATCACAATAATCCCTTCATTTTGTTTGAAACCATCCAATTCAACCAGCAATTGGTTCAAAGTCATCTTCAAGTATTGCTGGTCCTTTGGGTTGCGGCTTCCTCCAATAGCATCTATTTCATCGATAAATATAATACAAGGAGAACACTTCTTTGCAGCAGTGAAAAGATCTCTCACTCTTCTGGCTCCCACACCAACAAACATCTCTTCAAATTCACTACCACTAGAAGAGAAGAAAGGCACCCCAGCTTCTCCAGCAATAGCCCTTGCAAGCATAGTCTTTCCTGTTCCAGGAGGACCAATGAGTAGTACACCTTTAGGGAGCTTTCCTCCCAAACGAGTGAACCTCTGTTGTAAGCAGCAGAAACAAAATGCAACAGGAGATTATCAACCAGTCTCTAGATGATCCTCCGAATAAAAGCAGGGGTAGGAACTGACACTTCAGAGGACATCTTGGCATTAAACTGGTGAACCTATTCTCTTATGAATTTACCTTGGGATCACGAAGATAATGCACAATTTCTTCTAGCTCTGCTTTTGCTTCATCCACACCCTTCACATCACTAAATTTTGTGTTAGATTCCATGGTAGGTTGCACCTCTTCATGCAGACCAAGTCCTAACATATGTCAAGCAAATATGAAGAAACCAACTCATCCAGTACAACTAAAGCATAACAAAAAACTGAGACATCGTAAACTACCTTTGCCAATCCCTCTGTCCTCAATAAGTGCTCCAATACCAGAAATAAGGAGAAAGCCAACTGCAATAGACCGGATCGTACTCCAGAGCTGCTCTTTGAAGTGGGCTCTTTCATTTGCTACCATATGGATAGGTGCACTAGCACTTCCAAGGACACCCTCTTTTACTGATTTTCCTACGTTTCTAAATGCTGAGTTACCTCCAAAAGTTTCTTCCTCCATGGAAGCACCAGCAATACCTACAAGGATACACTAGTATATTAATCTTTGTAAGCTAAAATAAAGGCAATATGACGATCATTACAAAAGAAATGCAACATGCTACCATGACAAATTTGAAAAAAAAAACATGGGTGCGCTAATACGTTTGAACAGAAACATTTGAACAGTGTGGTGAGACAAACTTAACTACAACAGAGAACTTTTGAACACAGCATCAAGCCAACTAGGCAAGGTACAAACTCTCAGATAAGACTGAGGAGAAAACAATGATCATAATACACGATAGTCTCTTCTCTAATACCAAATCACAAAGTTAACTATCCATTCTATTAAACATTTTCATGAACTTTGTATGATGGAAAAGAAAATCCCTCTAATGAGACAAAATTCAAAATTTCCCACAGATCAGTCAAGAGTGTTCACGTTACCCATGGTTCAACAAATTGGCATGTGAGATAAGAAAACACGAAAAACAATTTCAAAAATACAAAACCAATAGCTTACTCAGGAAATCTTGTTCTATTTTCCTCCCCTACTCTACTCATACTCCAATTATCTCGTGTCAAAGGGACTGCTTGTCTTTTTACCCACCTCTTTGCAATGTTCGAAGCAACTCACTCCCATCCAGCCTGTCAACCTTGACCAATGCCTTAATGTATTCGGACAGGGCGGAGGGATTTGAATGTAGAGATGGCTGGCTCTCAAATATTCTAATAACAGCTTCAGGGTCATTTCTACGATAAAGTTCTCTCAGATGTGTAACTTCATAGACTTCATCTGTGTCACGCATTCTGCGTGCGAAGCTACCAACATAACTTGACCGCGACCTCCTTTGGAGGGAGGTAGCTTTACCATCTGCAGCAATAGAAAATGCTGCAACATTTACATCATATCATATAGCCTCTCAAACAAAAAGCAATGGCATAACATACAAGGATAGAGAAAGCATAAAACATTTCCCTAACAACAAACTGGAGTTACAATACTCCCATAGCGAGATCAAAATAGTTTGCACACTTCTGCTAGTGGTAAACGCAAAGGTATTCATTTCTTTAAACCATTTATCCTTCAAAGGTTCATAACACAAATGAAGACCTCCAAGGAATCCATTGGGGAGAAGAGAGTAACTTCTGACGGGTAGAGTTCTTAAGTTTCTCAACTCCTGTTGATTTCTTGAAACCTGTCACAAGCATTCGGGGAATCAATCACTCGGTGGAAGATATACATCTACTATCTGAACATGACTCGTTAACAGAGATTAAATGTCAAGAAAGTGTAACTTTTTAGTCCACCAATATGCGTAATTTTGCCAAACCCAACAAGGAAAAAAGTCTTCAGCGAGGTGCTTATGTAATTCCAAAGAAAGACATTTTCAGAAACAAAACTAGAAGATTGAAAAGCACATTCCTCTAATCTTTTACATCACTTAGCTGAGATAATAGATAAGAGTATCCACAAATTTGAAGCATCTGATAAGATATGACTTCTAACTACAAATATGTTTCCTGAATCTAGGGTTTGCGAGAGAAAATCTTCGCCAAGTTGTGATAGGATCCCAAACAATCATCGCTAAAAGGGTCAATGAATAGTTTCCAAATCAACCGTATCCACAACCATCTTCACCGAGTCCGAGAATTTCCCCAGAAGAATTTCGTGAAAAGATAAAGAGGAATCAAAACGAACCTGAGTGATTAGGCGTCTCCAAACCATCTCTTCCGCGAACGTCTAAGACAAAAAACGGGTCCGATTTGCTCAAAAATCGAGCTCCCTGCTCGTACCTCGATCTCTCAGAAACCCTTCTCTCTGAACGTCTGGAACACTCGCCCGCCTGTTTGGTCTGTGAGAAACGGAGGAAAATGCGAAGAGAAACGTTTGTGCAGCAGGTGCAAGACACGCACGAGACTTAGGTCGTCCCCAAGGGCGAGAGAGAGGGTTTGCTGTAAATTGACATAAATACCCTCGGAGTTTTAGATATTTTCGATATGGTCGAATTTACCCCCTCATGGATTTTGGCGGTAAAATGGGCCTCACGTTTGGCCCACGAACGGCCCTAATCTCTCTCCTCCGTCGTCGTCTGTTAAAACATTCGGAAATCCCATCAAAATAGATTGCGGTCGTTATTCGGTTCGGTTTTACAAATCGATCCAATTTCGAATATCACCTCCCAATCAATTTTATTGTAAAAAATCGAATCAATCTAATTTTTTTAAAATTACAAAATAATAAAAAATGAAAATAAAAAAAGAAATGAAAAATCTATGTTTTTAGAAAATAAATATTTTTAATAATAAAAATTAAACCCATCCAATAAACGACATAAAAATCAACTTAATACATTTTTTTCAAAATTTAGTAAAAAAATAATTTAATTGAAATTAGAAAATAGGCGTCCTATGAGAGGGCTTTACGGATTTCATTTTTATTTTAGGGAAAATATGCACAAACGTATCTTTTTTAAACTATATTTGCAAAATAGATCTATTTTCTAATATTTTTGAAAAACCTTTTGCTATCTAAAGACTAAAATACTCTTTGCTAGTTTCAAAAAAATACCATGCATGTTCTACAGTTTTTATAATATAGAACCTGCAATATTATTAGGTTTATTCTTTGACCTGCAATAATATTTTATAACCTATACGATATGATGTGGTTAGTAACGAACCCATAAACAACTTTAACTGGGGACATAGACATATAGTTATAGTAATGTATATGAGTGTCGATTTATAGTATGAGAAAACATATTAAAAAATATAATGAATAAGACCTAATCACGTTGAATTGATAGTTCATAGAATAGAAAATCATTGATTGAAACCGTAGAATTGATGTTGTCTTTCTAGCCTAGAGAAGTGTCCATAAGAATCGTTCTCATTTTTACTAAAATCGGCAAAGACTATTATTAAATGTATTACAAAAAAGTTAATGAGCATCACACATTCTATTATTATTATCTTATCAAAGAAAATCGTTGGAAAAAATAAGTGTGTCGATTCGATGGTTTGAGTTTCGATTGTGGGTCTGGTCATCCATAAGAAAAAGTAAATTTTGACAAATAAAAAGAATGATTAAAAGGTTTCACATCTTAGATATCCGAGATAGTAATAATAGAAAATAAATATAAAAAAGTAGAAGAGATAAAAGAAAAAAAAACTTGAATAGATAAATAAATTAAACCATGAAATCCTACAGTTCGGATCCGTAGCAAACTGGTGGTTCGTTCAATCTGTTTTTATTCGGTCTTCTATTTTTTGACTCGACTCAACAAAAAATGAATCAACTGCGAACTAGCTCCCGAGCCTAGCTCATTTTATTCTTTGACAAAAAAAAAGAAAAAAAATTAAGATAGGCGAAAAGAAAAAAAGAATACAATTATACTCATATCTTTAAAAATGATCCATGCACGTTTAGATAGGGTTGTCAAAACGAGCCGGGCTCGCGAGCCAACTCGAGGTTGGCTCCTTTTTTAGCGAGTCGAGCCAAGAATATCTGAACCCGAATAAAAAACGGGCTGAATGAGCCAACTTGCCACGAGCCGAGCCCAAACGAGCTAGCTCGGTCGGTTTGGGAGCTGGAGTAAAAAAAAGAATTTTTTACGTTGAAACTCGAAAGTGTTGATATTGCTTGGTATAATATTTTGATTTGGAGATAATTTTTTTATACGTGGATTAGGATCTGAAGATGGTTTTTATACATGGATTAGGATCTGATTGTACATAGATGAATTATGATCTGAAAATGATTTTTTGTATATTGATGGATTGTGATTTGATCTATTTAAAGATGATTTTGTATACATAGATTGTGATTGTGAATATAAATGTAATTTGGATGTAGTATTGATATGTTCTTTTTATGTTGATGTATCATTTGGATATGGATTTGTATAATTTGATATGGTTTTTTAGGTATTTAGAAAAATATGATATCGGCGAATCGATTCGTGAGTCGGCTCGCTAACTAAGTTATTTGGACTGAGTCAGAAATTTTCTAGTCTGAATAAAAGACAAGTTTAACGAACTGGGTTAAAAATTAACTGAAACGAGTTGATCCGATCTGGTCCGAACTGCCTCGTTTGACATCCTTACGTTTAGACAATCCCAATTTATGGACTGAAGCAGGCTTCGAGGAGCTGGAACCTTCGCTTTGATGAGAAAATCAAAAGGTTTGGTTTCTCACACAAGAAGACGAGCTGTCTGTTTACAAGAAGGCTAGTGGGAGCACAGTTGTATTTCTAGTGCTATACGTGGATGACATTCTCCTTATAGGGAATGACGTTCCTACCTTGCAAGACGTTAAGTCTTGGCTAGGAGCGCAGTTTTCTATAGGGGTGTCAATCGGGCCGGCCCGGCCCGACCCGGCCCGAGCCCGCACTCGGCCCGGAAGTTTCGGGCTCGGGCTCGGACCGGCCCGATTTTTTTCGGGCCTATATACTTAAACCCGAAACCCGACCCTATGCACTCCGGACTCGGGTCGGGCCGGACCGAGCCGGGCCAGCCCGCGAATTTTCTTTGTAAATGTTATTTTTTTTTATTTTTTTCTTTTTTTTTAAATTTTCGGGCTTTCGAGCCGGCCCGATTCGAGCCCGAAGTCCGATTTGAGCCCAGCCCGAAAGCCCGATTTTTTTCGGACCAAGAAACTTCGGCCCAAAACCCGCTATTTTTCGGACTGGACCGGGTCGAGCTTCGGACCTCGGGCCCAAATTGACACCCCTAATCCCAAACATACAATGTATCTGTTTTTATTATTATTGAAACAATCAATAAAACCAATCAACTTCTCTATGGATTAGAATTATAACCGACCATGAACATCCAATCCTTTTATTCGACTTTGATACTATAATCGATTTCATCCACTTAGATGTAGCATTTATATACAAGTGAAAGATTATATATAGAAAATAAATATTTCATAAAAAAACTAATCTAAAACAAAAAAAAATAAAAATATTCATTTGATATTATCCCCTCGATGGCCGGCATAAGGCCCAACAAACAGATAAAATTAAGTTCTAGATTGACGTAGAAGTTTCTCACACCTTTTACCTTTGTCAAAAGATTTGCGACAATAGTCTCGGCCAAGCAGCTCACACGTTTCTCCGACAAGTGGCGGAAGCTTCCTTCGATTTTTATTTCGAAGATTCTGAAACTGATTCACCCTCTGGAACCTTCTTCTTCCCTCGCATATATATACACACGTTTCTCTCTCCTCCACCTTCGCTAAGTTACAAGCTTTGAGAAAAAGTGCCGCAAAATTCCTTGCAAGTTCATTCATAATCGATTTTACTTGGGTTCTATGGATTGGAATGGGATTATGGCGAAATGAAGGGAGTAAGAGTCAAATTGGAGGAAGATCCAGTGACAGCATTCGCCACCGCAGTCGTCGGAGGTAAATTCGCCGAGGCGGCAGAGGCGGCAGCGTCGTCTCCGAGGCCGATGGAAGGGCTTAACGAGGTTGCTCCGCCGCCATTTCTGACGAAGACGTACGAGATGGTGGAGGATCCGGCCACGGATTCGGTGGTCTCGTGGAGGAAAGCTCGCAACAGCTTCGTCGTCTGGGATTCTCTCACGTTCTCCAACCGCTACCATGACAAATTTGAAAAAAAAAACATGGGTGCGCTAATACGTTTGAACAGACGCAATGGAACGAGCTGTCGTGCAATGGAAATTGGAAGAAAATATAATTAGCGAATCTAATTATAATCACGCTCTTCTTCCTCGCTACTTCAAGCACAACAACTTCTCCAGTTTCATCCGACAGCTCAACACTTACGTAAGTAGTTGTCTTTTGCACATTTGTCTTGGAACAGTAAAGGTTGGTTCTTTATGATTGGATGCGACGAATTTCCGATGGGTTTGTTGAAATTTTGATCATTTGGTTCTAACACGATTACAGAATTAATAGTTTCTAGAAAACTGAAGAGGTTTGGTGAAAGCTTGATTCTTTGTTCGTAATATTCGATTCGACGAAATCCAGATTGATATTTTGGATCATTTGATCGAAAGATTTGTTCAAATTGTGAGAAACGTGATGTTGTTGATTTATTATACACATTGCAGATTCTCTGAAGGAGTCAACACTGCTTGTGCTGCAATGCACAAGTTTAAACGGAAGAAACTGCATTGTTGTATGATTAACTAACGGAACTCAGAACATGAATTCTGTGTAGGGCAGTGACTTGCAATGGTGAAACATGGGCAGAGGTTTTTGGAAACTTTTGATTTCAGATGACGTTCGGACAACAAGGTTGGTTTTGTGGAATTGCAGGGATTTCGAAAGATTGATCCCGACAGATGGGAGTTCGCAAACGAAGGGTTTCAGCGGGTCAAAGACATCTCCTTAAGACCATCAAACGTCGGAGAAACCTCGGTGTCCAAAACGCGCATCATCAAGGAGGGGGAGCCTGTGTTGTCGAGCTCGGGCATTACGGTTTCGAAGGGGAACTCGAGAAACTCAAGAGAGATCGGAACGTTTTGCTCACAAAGATTGTTCGTTTAAGACAGCAACAGCAGAACTCCAGGAATCTGATCGCATCAATGGAACAGAGGTTGCTTGTGACAGAGAGGAAACAGAAACAGATGATGTCTTTTCTTGCCAAGGCTTTGAACAATCCCGACTTTGTTCAGCAATTTGCCCAATTGCGCAGAGAGAGGAAGGAGCTGCTCGGTGTAGATCTCGGAAGAAAACGAAGGCTAACCATGAGCCCGAGCATGGAAACTCTGCAGGAAGAGGTTCTGCAAGTGGGTGAAGAAGAGACTGAGAGAGTGGAGGAAACAGATATGGCGACGTTGTTCTCCGTGGCCCTTGACAATGAATCGAGCAGCTCGATGCCCACAACGAGCTGCGCTAACGGTGATGATTGTTTCAGCGTCATGGACGAGATAATGGAAGAGACGATCCGAGGGAGCAATCTCGAGGCAGAGGAGCCTGAGATGGACGTGAAAGTCGAGGATTTGGTTGCGACAGACTGGGGCGACGAGGAGCTACCCGACATTGTTGATCAAATGGACGTTCTCGGGTCAAAACCCTAAACCTCGAAACCCTGGACCAATCTCATGGTAATGGTGCTTAGCTTGCTAGTTGAACTGATCTTCTTCGATCCCTTGTTCAGGTCATTAGAATTATAAAAGTTGAGTTCATATGACATTGTGATTGGTAGGAGAAGTTCAAGTTTTTTAACCTCGAGCATGCTCTGCTTCATTCTCAGACGACATTGATGGTTTTGGTTTGGTCGTGTTTGATGCTTTTGTAGATAATGTAACATTTCTTTTATATATATATATATATATATATATATATATACGTATGTATGTATAATTGGAAAGGTGTTGCTTTTGGCATTTTTTTAGTGTATTTTTTAGGATGGATTGTAACTTATGTATAGATAGACGTATTTAAGAGTTGTATTTAAGATGTATGAAATAAGAGTTCGATACCATGCGATGCATGCTTGTACGCTTTCTTCAATGTTTATTCCGCGTTCCACGGAAACATTTCATGTGATAAAAGTAAAATTTTTTATATCGCATTCCTGATCAAAATATATATCTAAATTCATAAAGAAATGTTGTAAACATTTACCAAAATAATGATAGAAATCAAGAGACGGTAGCCGAATGATGAAGAAGTTAGTTGAGAAGAGTGGCGTGTTTTTGTCTCATATCTCTCATGTTCGAGTTGCGAGTTAGCCTGTCTACGGGTCGAATGTCCGGAGAACTTGCGAATTATAAAAAAAATGATAAAAATTTAGATCCAATGATGTGAACTACCATTGCAGATTGATTGGAACAAAAACAAACAAAAGGAAGATTTTGTCGAGTTAAATCGATTAAAAGATCATATGCGAAGCAGTTACAGACTAATTGAGATGGCATTGTTCTTGCATGTTGGGGACAAGAACAATTGGAAAAGTGTATTAGATTGATTCAACTAGAAGTTCATCTCATTATCCACATGATTTAAAATTTTAAAGAACCATAAATCAAGTCCAGAACTCGAGTTCGATGTTGATGGCAGAAATAACTTTTAAACTAGATAAAATATCTATTCAGTTTCAATTTTGAAGACCACAAAGTTAATTAAGACTTTCGTAAAAACTATACATGCAAATTTCTTTGTTTGTATCAGTTTCTTTTAAGAATTCTTTATCTATGTTGCTTGGTCTCTGACTTATCAAGTGTTGGATTCTTCACAACACATGTGGTGTCTTCGCTTCTTCCTACATTTCTAAAATAGATTCAATCGAGGTTTAAAACCATTCGTTCGAACGTCAGTTTAGGTCGCTTAATAGTTTAGGGATTCAATCTACCGTGTGTCACAACGTTTATGGATATAGGAACCGTTTCATTTGATGTCAAAAGATAAAATTTCTACTAAGATTATTTTTAAATTATGTTTTTTTATAATCCGGAAGTCACCTGACCTTTGACCTAACTACATCTTTCAGAGGATCGGAAAAATCCAAGTGAATGTTCATCTTCACACTTGGATTTAAATCCAAAATAAGAGTATGTTTTGTATATTCTTTTACCATTAGACTATCTAAACTTGGATTTTAGATTATGTTATATTTTATGGTGGAAGTGAGATGAGACATAAGAACTACGGACGATCCAAGATGTGAAAACAATCAAACCTTAAATCTATTACATAAGTTCGACAATGGAAATATTAACATGCGAATTTTCATCGTCAGATATACGACTCCAAATTTGAAAATCAAATTTTCATCATCCTCAAACCTAAACCCGTTTCATCCTGGGAATAAATATTTATTTTTCAAATAACGATTTAATCATGGATATATAAAAAATAGCATAGATTAGTCCTTCATTCTTGCAATCTCCTATGGAAAAAAAAGTCAGTTAGCGGGCAAAGATTTGATATTTTGACTTTAATTCATATCTTTCTTTTAAATCATGTGACCTATTTTGGTCATATCGTGGTCATATTAGTTATAACATTAAATTTATAATGGTTCTAACAAGTGATTATTATGATATATAATGTGTGACCATAATAATTTGGTATGGTCATCATAAATTTAACGTTATAACCAATATGACCGTGATTATACTATCATTTTTTGTCATATGTTAATATGTAGAGAATATGTATGGATTAAATTCAAAATATGTCATATGTTAATATGTAGAGAATATGTATGGATTAAATTCAAAATAGCAGATATAGTGTATTTTTTTTATAATGCCCGTTTAATTCGACCCTCCCGTCGTTTCCATCCCAGCTGGGCACACAATTCAATACAGAATCGGGAGTAAAAAAAAAAAACCTGCAAAGAGGGAAATGGCGTGTCAAGACTAAAGCTACGCGTTGGCTGCAAAGAAGCAAAAGAGCCAAACATCGCGGACTGGATTGATATAAAACCCTAATGACTCTTCCATCATTCATGGGCTGCAAGCTATGGACTCCGAAATCGCCATTGATTTCCCTCCCTTGCTCCGATTGTACAAAAATGGCCGAGTCGAGCGTCTCACCGGGACAGACACCGTCCCCGCATCCTCCGACCCACAAAACGCCGTCGTTTCTAAAGACGTCGTCCACTCGCCGGAGGACAGTCTCTCCACCCGCATCTATCTCCCGTCCGGGAAAACCGCCTCCGCCGGAAAATTGCCCCTCCTGGTCTACTTCCACGGCGGCGCGTTCATCACAGGGTCTCCTTTCTCGCCCACTTACCATAACCTGGTCTACTCCCACGGCGGCGCGTTCATCACAGGGCCTCCTTTCTCGCCCACTTACCATAACTTCCTTCCTGCGGCTGTCGCGGCGGCGGAGTGCCTCGCCGTGTCGGTGCAGTACCGTCTCGCGCCGGAGCATCCGATTCCGGCTCCGTACGAGGATTCGTGGTCTGCTCTCAAATGGGTTTTTTCCCATTTCTCCATGTCTGGACCCGAAGTTTGGATCAACGAACACGCCGATTTCAACCGAGTCATCCTCGCCGGAGACAGCGCCGGCGGAAACATATCCCATCACATGGCCATGAGAGCCTCCAAGGATAAACTGATCCCTGATTCTGGTTCCGATTCAGGGTTAGGGATCGAAGGAATCGTTCTGGTTCATCCATCATTCTGGGGAAAAGATCCGATCGACGAGCATGAGACGAGGGATGAAGCGGTGAGGAAGAGAGTTGACGCGATATGGGCTATCGCGAGCCCGAACAGCGAGGAGGGCGCGGATGACCCGTGGTTCAACGTGATCGGATCTGGGTCGGATATGAGTGGGTTGGGATGTAAAAGTGTTACGGTGATGGTGGCCGGAAAAGATGCGTTTGCTCGGAGGGGATGGGCGTATGCGGCGGCGCTGGAGAAGAGCAGGTGGGGTGGAAAAGTAGAGGTGGTGGAGAAGAAGGAAGAGGGGCATGTCTTCCATCTGATGAACCCTAAATCTGAGAATGCAGAAGAGTTGATGAACAAGTTTGTGGGGTGCATCAGAGGATAAGGAAGACGAAGCCAGCCTCGTGGAAATAGCCAGCGGTTGCAGTAAATGAAGAAAGGAAGAAATAACGACTTGACCTTTGTTTTGTATCTATTACAAAAGTCAACAGAGCAAATAAAAATAAACTGTGAAAACGTCTCCTTAAACGTCCTCTCACCTCGGAAGTACGCATGGTCCATATGAAAAATAGAGACGATTACAAGATTAAAATATCCGATAGATAAAACTTTTGAAAGATCGAAATTAATTCCAAACTTGTAAAATGGTTAAATTTTTCGTTCCACAAATCTATTTTTAAATTTATAAAAAGTGTATTTGTACTTCTTAAACTTGCAATATATATTATTGTAATTCTCAAACTTACTTTTGGATCAATATTGTCGAGATTTATTCTGACACCAAATAGTAAATTTGAGAATATAAAGATATATTTTACAAATTTAGAAATAAATTTATTAAATGAAAATTTTGAGAATTAATTTTTCACTATTTTACAACTTTAAGAATTTCTATGGGTTTTACTAGAAACATAAAAATACATGTTAAAAAATATCGACGTAATTTAAAAAAATAATAATAAAAAAGTATCCCACGTTTGAGCTTTCTTACGTTTGAGCAATATGTTCGAGTTTCCCAAAATAAATCGTCGGAATAGAGTAATAGAACGAAGTGTTGTGGTGAAGGCTATATAAATTGTAGGAACATAATGGTCAAACGATGAGGGAGAAGATAGTGGGCGAAAAGAAATTAGGAGAGACGAAACCCAGTCATGCATAAACTTCTTTTATTTGTAGAGAAACAAAAAAAAATTTCATATGAAGAATAAGAATTCATCATCAGGGGGAGTCACGAGGAAGCAAGTGTTGCGTCTGGGTATTCATGGAAAAAAGTAAGTACATCGAACTTTAACCTTGATTTTATGGTTAAGGATTTGGATGGGAATGCTCGTAGTTACACTACAAAAAAATCTGCATATAGCGACGGAATTTGCGACGGAAATTTCCGTCGCACAGAAAATTGCGACGGAATGTGACGATTTTACGACAGAATGTGGGAAAAAATTATCCATCGCAAACAGTCGCAAAATCCGTCGCAATGTGCTACGGTTTGCGACGGATAATTCTGTCATACCAAAGAAATAGATGATTTGCGACGGAAAATAAAAATTGTGACGGATTGCGACGGAATATTCCGTCGCAATGTATTTGGTTTCGTTTTTCGACGAAATTTTTTGAATTTTGGGCGCGTAAATTAATTTCATTTTGTGACGGAGTGCGACGGAAAATTCCGTCGCAAAACGCAATATAAAACCACGAGTCGTCTTCTTCATCAGACTTCAAAAATTTTCGGAAAAAAATAAAATAAAAATCGAAATTTTTTTTCTAAATCCTCCAAAGATCATGTTTAGGAAGAACTTCAAAAAATAAAACTAATCTTTTGAATCATTTAGATTCACAATTTGAAGGCCGATCAGACTAAAATTGTTGATCACATCTTAGATATTGAAGGAGTCAACACTCTTTCGAAATATCCACACTTTGGGATATATTCTAACTGCTTGAAACTTGTCCGCTAGAGTTAGAGATCTCAATCTGTGTTTTGAACTTTTTGAGAGAGTTTCTCTCAACTCTAATATCTGATCTAGAGGTCTGAGAGTGCGATTAGCCACTAATGGAGTTGTTCTCCACTAATATCCACTCATAAAAGTCAAGTTAAAGTAGAAATAATGTATGTCGATGTTTGGTTCGGTACAGACCACGAGATTTATTCTGCCTACACTTCGTCAAGTACATGGTCTGACCCAGACCACACATGATCCGTTCTGAATAGGCAAAATCATATTGCCGACACTTTGACGAGGTCTGGTCCGATCCGGAACAATATAGCTTAGACAGAAAGCAATTCTCGGCTCGGACTGGATCGATCCGGTCAAACCGGTCTCGATCTTTAAAACTAAGCGACTTAAAAAAAAACTCTCTGAATAGAATAAAAACCAAGTTGTGTTCTACAATGACTAAAAACCATACGTATAAGAAACAAAATCCTAATAAAGTTCAAAACTACGTAGTTTTAATACAACTCGTAGAAGTGACTCGAATTGTGTCATATGTAACACAACTGTGACAAGTTTTTGAGCAAAACTCATCAAACTATATGAAAGTCCATGTTTGAAGTGATACAAGACGTGTTAGATTTCTGTAACTCTAACACAGACTAGACAAACGTGATACATGTCGTGTCAGATTTTTATAACTCCGACGTGGTCCTTGTTAGAAATAACATGGACCGTGTCAGATTTCTGAGCTCCACGTCCTTCATTAATTTGTAAACAACTCATCCAAATCTCGACCTTGCTCTCATGTTCATCCTTAGTTTGTGTTGTCTTGAATTCTTCATGAATCATGCGCACAATATTGTTGTAACATGACAAGAAAAACTGTGAAATACGACGGATATTGCGACAGATATATCCATGTATACCGCATGGAGAGAGTAGGTACATTATCTATAGTATTCATTTTTATGGAAAAACACAAACAAAACAGATAGAAAACATATAAGTTGCTTAGTACACATACTAATACAGACAATAGTCGCTTAATTCTGCGAGTGTTTTAGGATACTCACAGTCGAACTAACAGTACACATGTCGATGATCGCGTTCAACAGATCGAAGAGACAATTTAATCGAAAATCAACTATCTTGTCTCCCACTACAAAAAAACTGTGTATTTTCAACGGATTTTTCCAATAAATTAGTCCATTGAAATTATTTCAACGGATCACCAACAGATATCAGTTGAAAATATTTCAATGGATTTTCAATGAATTAGTCCATTAGAAATCCGTTAAAATTTTCAACATCAACGGCAAAGTTAAGTTGAAACTTTTCAACATACTTTCCAATGGCTATGCGTTGGAATTCGAGAAAAAATTTTCTAACGGAATTCCGTTACAATTTGGTAAAATTTCCAACTTCCGTTGGAACATTTCGTACCGTTGACAATAAAGGTTCTAATGGATATCCGTTGGAAATTTTCAAACATTTGATAATGGTCAGACGAATGCAACTGATGTCAGTTGGACTATTTTGAACATTGAAATTTTCCAACAAGACGTCCGCTGGAATATGCCTTTATATATATCCATCCGCTCATTCCCCTCTCAAACCACTCTCCAAATCATTTTTGTACTATTCCTTCACAAAAAAAAATTCAAAAAAGTATATTTTTCAGCAAATCCGAATATTCATACGTCCCAACAATGGATATATAAAAGAGTAAATCCGATTACAAAAGAGGTTACACAAGAATTCATTATCGGTTTGGAATAATTAATGAATTTTATCCGATGCAACCATTGTGCAAAGAACATAGAAAGATGCTACGTCCATGTATAAGTTATTGAAATTTAAAATTTTGCACTCAAAAAAATATTTGTAAACATCTATTTTGAAGGGGGTTCATAGACGACTATTACATTTGGCGTATGCATGGAGAAGAAGTTCGGACAATTACAATGAGACATATGCCGACATCGAAGATGGATCCACATCATCATAGGTATGATGATGTAGAAGTTTTAAGAAATTCGTATATTGAAATGGTGATAAATATTTTTTCTGGGGCATCGTTTGAACAAAATTCACAAGAGGAGAAGGCAAACGACAAAACAAAACGGTTGTTCGATATGATGTATATAACAAATCATCCTGTATATGAATGATGTAAAGAAGGTGAGTCATACCTCTAATGATGCAGATCCATCATTATCAGAGGCAGTTTTCTTAATTAAGAGATTGCCCCAACAATCCTTAATGTTCTAATAATTTTGTTTATATTTATTTATACTTACATATTATATATTTATATATTTTTATTCATTAATATTTATATATTTCGTTTGGTATCGTCATCATTTGGTTAAGTTATATCATATATAGCTTATTAACCAAAATGATAGTAAAGATTTGTATCTTTCTACAAAAACCATGTGTGGAGTATAACCAGAGTTAATTAATTGGTAGATGGTGATGTTGTCAACCAAAGAAATATATTTAAGTTTGAATATTATGATGTTTTTTTAAAAAAAAAAAATTATGATGCCTATGCAAATGACTTCAGAAATGAGTAAAAACTTCTATATATGCTCATAAAGTAAACTTCCCATAAAAAAAGAGAAAAAATCACGTACTAATTCAAAATTTTGTAATAAAAAATATCTGAACTTTAAAATGTTTATATAAATATGGTCAATCTTTCTAACACTTGTATTGAACTCTAAACTTTTTTAAAAAAAATAATGAAATAAAATATTAAACTTTGAAACGATTTACAAAACAATCGTTAAATTAAACACTAAACTTGGGAACAAATGCATTATAAGCAGAAGAGAGTGAAAACACCAAAAAAAAAAAAGACAGGAAAAAAAGGAATCTTCTCAGCTCGGAAAACATGGTTGCAACTTCGGTCTCCCAAGCCCCGTGTAGCCTGGTACTCAACAGTCTGGTTTCGTGAGGCGCTGCCTCGTTATTCTTTTCTACATTGGCAGGTACTATTTTCAAGGTTACCGACGAAAGACAGGTTGTTACGCTGGAGAATCGATGTGGATCCTACATGCTGTCTCTGTGGGATAGAAGTGGAAACGCATGACCATCTTTTTCTTCGATACTCATACAGTAAAGCCTTATGGGTTGCGTATGCAGGTAGATGTTGGGATAATCCACCAACGGCGTTGACAGACTGCATCTCTTGGATCATAGCCAACAACAACACAAATATCAAGGATAAACCGACAATCGTAAAGCTCCTTCTACAGGCCACGATATACGTCATATGGCAAGAACGGAACAATCGGATTTTCAGACATGAAGCTTGCTCCTCTGAGAGGATCCGTTGGAAGCTGGACAAGGCTCTAAGGAATATTCTGCTCTCCATCAGACTGCAGCACCCTAATACGACAGGTTCAATACTGGAGAATTGGTATCATCTGATGCGCGACAACGGAGATTAGACACATGGGTTAAACTTGTATTTTGTTTTGTTATGCGGAAATTATGACCATTTGATCTGGGAATTCTTTGTTACTACTTCGGATACAGACTTAAAAGTCTGGTTGTAGAATACTTTATTTTTCGGTATATATATAATCACATTAAACAAAAAAAAAACACTAAACTTTTAAACGATTTTCAAAAACCATAACCGTTGAAAAAAATTCAGAAAAGTTTATTGAAATTCCTTTCTTTTTTTTTTGAAATTTTATAGCTGATGTATTTATATGAACTTTTTTTTTACAAAATTGAATAGATATATATACGTTTCAATTAACTCACACGCATCCACGTATATCCCCACATATTCAATAATCCCAGCTAAAATTACCCAATTTTCGAATTTTTGACATGCTGCATTGTTTTTAACTGTACAATACAAACATCAATTCAACAAAATTTTTGTTTCAATTATGTGCAAGTCGGCGGAATGCATAATAAATTTATAATAAAAATAGAAATTGTCGAATTGTACTTGCATCGTCATAATCCTCTAATTTTAAATATATTTTTAGTTTAAAAAATATACAAAACGCAAACATCTCTCTATCTGGGCTCCCCTAATCTTTAAGCCCACGACCCATATTGTGTGATTAGAGAAATCCCACATCGGAAGAATAGAAAAGCGCGAACAAGGGGAGGGAAGCATAAGTAGGGAGCTCGAGAGAGCGGACAACATACTTACCTGGACGGGGTCAACGCGCGATCAAGAAGGCACGTGGCCTAGGTTAGTGACCTCCATTGCACTTCGGAGGGGCGCTTAGCCTAAGGTCTCCCCAAGCGGGAGAGCCTACGTTGTAATTTGTGGCAGAGGGGGCCTGCGTTCGCGCGGCCCCCACCAGTATGATGTCTAATGCTTAACCAGGGGCCGGGTTGGTACGGTTCCGTTCTTTTACGTTGAAATCGAATATTATCATTTTGTTAAAACATTTTACTGTTTTTTAATTATTTTTTTTATTCGTTTCGGATTCGGTTTAGATAAATCATAACCATTCGGTTTTATTACAATTATATGTTATTCGATTCATATGAAATAAACCACCCCTACCTTTAACCATAACTTCTTTTTATTTGTATGTTGTAACGAAATTATCCAGCATTAATAGAATGTAGCCGTATGTTTATTTATTTATTTTTTGCTGTTTGTTGTCTGTCAATGGATCAATTTAATCGATGACGAGTTTTTAAGAAAGCTATTTTTACTTTTATTGGTTGCCCACATAAACAGCAAAACATGAATTCAGGCTTGCGAGGATGTCTATTGCTAATTGAAAACAGTGTCCAAAACACAGCTGATGTTTCTGTATTCTGGAGAGAATAACACTGACCGTTATGTTGAACTCGAAAAACATAGATCTTGTCCCAATGAACTGCGTTAGTTTGGTTGGTCGCTTCGTAATCAACTGGAAAACGTGCAAAGTGTTACATGTTATCGTTTTTAGGTCTCTTCCGTTCCGTACTTGATCGAACCCAGATATCGTTCTATGGGAGGCGAGGACCTGGCGCACCCCGCCCAATCATGCTCTTGAGTCATAAGAACAAATTGTGCGTTGGGCTATTTTTGAAATTGGGCACAGCCCAATCATGCTCTTAGTCATAAGAACAAATTTTGTATTGAGCCTTTTGCGAAATTGGGCTCGGCCCAATCTTTTTCTTCATGAAGGGTTGAAAACTTCTTCCAAGACCCATCTTAGATTTTCTTAGGTCCCCGGACCTTCAGAATTTCTGCGAGGGTGTGATTCCGTCGATTTTCAATCCTCGACTGTTGTCGGATTTGGTGAATACCTCCTAAGTTTACTGTACGATTGCCGTAATCATCATGAGTTCCTCCTATCCTTTGTTGTAATCAATGGCATAAGTTTCTTCCTAATACCCGTTCCAATTGCTTTCTTGACCATTGTGTCGTACTCTCTCTACATTTTAGGCGGTCCATATTTTTGTCCAAATACACTCTCAGGGTTCCTGTAATAGACGGCGCGATTCGATTCTTCAGTGCACCAAAAACCGTATATCAAGTGATTTGCTGATCTCGCTGTTGGTCTAGCAAACCAATGTTGGTAAGTTCTGGACCAGTCAAACTCTCTTTTGTTCCTGTGATTCGCTCTTCTATCTGGACTGACTTAGCTGAGTGTGGCTGGTCCGTCAGAGTAAATTCTGGTCAGGGGCGGACCAAATGCCTAATTTCTCCGTTTCATGCTGAATTTCTGCATTGTCCCCTCGTGGTCTTGTCAAAATCATGAAATAGTATAAGAGACTTAGAATAGCTCTAAAATACCTAAAAATGTGTTCGTCTAAACACCAAAGGGATACTCATATAGAATAAAAAAAATCCGAGCCATCATTATTTATTTTAGGGACATGTCATACTTTTTGCTAAACACAAATAAGTGATTTTTAGATTTTTTATTGTATTATTTAATTTTAATGGTTGTAAAAATGATAATCATTGGTTGTTTTAGTAACATTTTTTAATGACCCAAGTTCAAGCGATTTTGATAAAGAACGAGACAAAAAATTTTCTCAACATAAGTTTAAATTTTTGTTTGGAAAATGACATTCACATGAGTTTTTCGAGTTTCTAGAAGATATAATTGAGTACAAGTTTTGGCAAATTTTCACATTATAAAAAAACTTCTTTAATAAATTTTCGATATAAATATTTTTTTAGATTTATTTTTGATAAATTTGAATGCATATACGTATAGTTGAAAGTTTGATGGAAAATAGTTGAAACATGTAATTGAAACATCCAATTTCGAATTCGGATATCCTAAAAAATATCGAATAATCAAATTCCAAGTGCTGCCCATCACTGCCCACACGTTTGGATACCCACTCCAATCCATAAAATGGGCTGGCTCGGACCGGCTCGAATCGGTTCTTTTGAGCCATCTTATTTTTTGTTCAGCCTATTCGGTCTGTTTTTTTATGAGTTAGAAAAACTCTGATCCAAACTAAATTGTTCGAGGTATGAGTTAACTCGCGAGTCAACTCATATTTATCTAATTATCCGAAAAATCTTTTAAAATTATATAAAACTTGATAATTTGAATTCTACATAAGAATAATAAGAAGTCATTCCATATAAAACAAAATATTTAACATAATAATCTATAAAACATATCTAAATCAAAAAAATTAACAAAAAATGGTATCTCACATTACCAAACTAATATAAAAAGTGTCATATATCAACCAATATAAAAATATAAAAAAAAAATTTTGGAGTGGAGAGAGAGATTGGGAGAGACACCATAAAAAGAATAAACGGAATAGATTCGGATTCGCAGCAAACTGGCTTGTTCAATCCGTTTTTATTTGATCTTCTATTTTTTGGCTCGACTCAACAAAAAATGAGTCAACCGCGAACTGGCTACCGAAGCTCTCATTTTAACATCATTACTCCAAACCCTAATCGGATTCATTATTTAAGTCATTTTCCCGCAATAATCAGAAACGCCATGGGTCGTTTCTCTTTCCCGAATAAATAATGTTGTTTTTTCGGCACGTTCTTATTTAATGTTTAAACCCAAAATCTTGTCCAAGACCTGTCTTAAGATATACTCTGACAAAATCCAGCGAAGGAAGAGAAGGATCGTGACTGGTTTTGCTCATCTATCACGACAAAGGTTCTTCCTTTTATCATTTTAATGGCTTCCTAATCTGTCTGCAATCTTGTTTCTCATCTTCGTTAAGGGTTCAACGTGTTCTTCGTGCCTGTATGTCATTTGTTCGATGAAATGCCTGACAGAGTTGTTCTGTTCGGATTGTCTCCTATGCCTTTGTTCACATTTCTCCGTTCATTTTCTTTTATCCTCTGGAGTTTTCCGTATCGATCCTGAGATTGTGACATTAACTTTAGTTCCTTTGCTTTTCGGGCATCTATTGACAAATTCTCGTGTTTTTTACCAAAGAAAAGAACGAAATTCTCTTGAGTTTAGATGCAAGTGTTTATTATTCCTATGTGTTGTTTTACACAGGAAATGAACAAGTCTGGTCGAAGTCTTTTTGATTGAACTTGCATTTTGTTTTGGGTTGTTCTTCTGATCTTGATCTTGTTTATTCTTATGGTCCAAACGGGTATACATCTTAGGCATAGTGAGGAACATGCATTAACCAGCATTTTTTAATGCTTAGAATTCAAGTTAATGTTCGATGTTTGATGTCCATATTATGGATTTTGTGTTCAGAATCTGAATCCAAGTTGAGAACTGGCAGCATTTGCGATACGCATTAGATACATTTGTGTTGGTAGTTAAGAAACTCATAGTAGGGAAAAGAATTGCCAAAATTTAGCTGATCTCTTAAACTCAAGAATGATTCTGACCAAGCTTTGAATCAGCAGCACATTAGAAATGTTGTTTGGCAAATCACCTCTCGTGTTTATGATTCTATAATCGTCGGTCGCTGAATTTTTATAAACCAACTAACTAAATCAATCAGTCAAAGTATTTTGCTTTCATTGCATGATCCGACGATGATTTTGTTGTAGTGTTCTGTCTGGATGCAGGTGCGTATGATGCTCGGGTAGTATAGTCCTTTCATCTAGTCATGAACAGAATCGCGAAGCATCCCTTCATCGCCCTTTTGGATTCAGGCACAACGTTGAATGAGCTAAGGCAGATCCACAACCAGCTCTTAGTCAATGGAATCCTCAATGATGACCATCTTCTAGGCCATTTCGTCGCCAAAGCCGCATTGAGCAACCCAAAGAACTTAGATTATGCTCGTGAGTTACTAGATCGGTCACATAATCCTACCCTATTTGCTCTTAATTCCATAATCCGAGCACATTGCAAGAGCCCCAGTCCAGAAAAGAGCTTCGATGTTTACAGAAGGATCCTCTGCTCAGGAAATAATCTTTCACCAGACAACTACACCATCAATTTCATGGTTACCGCATGCACAAAGTTAGTTTCTTGTGAGGCGGGACTTCAGATCCATGGTACAGCCACTAGACGTGGATTTGACAATGATCCCCATGTCCAAAGCGGGTTGATTTCCTTGTATGCTGTACTGGGTTGCCTTGATTCTTGTCACAAAGTCTTTAGCTCAATTTCTGATCCAGATGTTGTATGTCAGACAACGATATTCAAAGCTTGTGCGGAATGTGGGGATATTGCTTTTGCACGAAGATTGTTTGAGAAAATGCCTGACAGAGATGCAGTTGCCTGGAGTGCCATGATTTCTGGGTATGCTCACTTCGGAGATCCAAAGGAAGCACTTAACCTATTTCATCTGATGCAGCTGGAAGGATTCACGGTCAATGAGGTATCTCTGGTTTCGGTTTTATCTGCTTGCACTCAACTGGGGGCATTGGACCAAGGGAGATGGGCTCATGCTTACATAGACAAAAACAAGATCAAAATGAATGTAAACCTTGGTACCGCTTTAATAGATTTCTATGCCAAATGTGGGGACATGAGCAAAGCCATGGAAGTTTTCTGGGGTATGAAAGTGAAGAATGTATATACATGGAGCAGCATGTTGAACGGGCTTGCGATGAATGGGTTTGGAGAGAAATGTCTCGAGCTTTTCTCTCTTATGAAACAAGAAGGTATTATTGCAAATGCCATCACATTCGTGTCTGTCCTGAGAGCGTGTAGTGTAGTTGGTTTAGTAGATGAAGGGCAAAAGCATTTCGATGCAATGAGAAACGACTATGGTATAGAGCCTCGACTCGAGCACTATGGTTGCTTAGTCGATTTGTATGGACGAGCAGGGCGCCTAGACGAGGCCCTTAGTGTTATCCAAGGCATGCCCATGAAGCCTCGCAATGCTATATGGGGTTCTTTGCTCAATGCTTGTAGGCTGTACAAGAATACGGAAATGGCCAAGCTCGCATCAAGTAAGTTACTCGAGCTAGAGGATAAGGCTCATGGGGCGTACGTCCTTTTATCGAATATATATGCCGAGTCAAACAAATGGGATAATGCTAGTCATGTCAGAGAAGTAATGAAGTTCAAGGGGGTAAGAAAGGAACCCGGGTGCAGCGTAATGGAGATTAACGGAGAAGTTCATGAATTCTTTGTTGGGGACAAGTCCCATCCGAGATACGGAGAAATTGAGGGTTCTTGGAAGGAGATCTCGCGGAAGCTGAGGCTTGCGGGGTACAAAGCGGACATAAGTCCCGTTCTTTTCGACATAGAAGAGGAAGAGAAAGAGGAAGCGGTTGGTTTGCACAGCGAGAAGATCGCCATCGCCTTCGCTATGATCAGCTTGAAGGGAGGTGTTCCCATCAGGATTGTGAAGAACCTTAGGGTTTGTTGGGATTGTCATCAAGTCGCTATGATGGTTTCAAAGATTTTTGACAGAGAGATCATTATGAGAGACAGGAATAGGTTTCACCATTTCAAGGATGGTGAGTGTTCTTGCAAGGGCTTTTGGTGAACCAAATTCATTTGATTCAATATCCAGTTTTATGTTACAATTCTACAAAGATTTCTCCAATGGTTCATAACAAGTGATATTTAGAAGCTTACAGAGGATGATGCATTTTCAGTGTTGTTCTTCTCTAGCATTTAGGACATGTAAGTTTATATATATGTTTGTATGTATGTGTGTATATATATATATATGTAATTGCGTAGGTGTATTTGCATTCTTTTTATGTCGAGATTGTACATTTGTGTTGACTTGCGCTGATATATATATATATACACACACAAATACAACACGCTAACAGCTCACGAAGACAATTTTTTTAGTTTACTAACAACGAAATATATTATTTTACTAACAGAGATACTTCCTCTCTTTGTTTTTTTATTAAATACTTGGGTGTATCAAATCTCCGACAACAAAAGCATGAAACCCATATGTTCACACTCAAGAGTCTCGAGTAATCAATGGTGCCATGTTCCCTACGAGCGGAAAGAAGGTCTGAATTGTCCGTCCTTGTGCTTCCACAACACAATGTCTTGTCCTCGCGCGGGTCTCGCCGGGTCGACAGTAGCTAAAGCTTCGTGTAGTTTCTGTATCCTGTCAGTTCCTGGCTCATGGGAGCTTCCAGTCGTTGTCGCAAGCTGCTGTACATACTTTCGATAATCGCGGAAAGTATAGAAGACGAGGTGCCCCCATTCACCGATGACGTCAATCGGAAGCAGAAATATTGTGCTCTAATAACTGACCATGCATGCCCTACATGACTGATCTAACCAGCAGTACTTTGTAAGATGAGATCTATTTATATTCATACCATTTTTACCATGGTAACTTTTTTTATTATTATTTTTAGGTATATATTACTTGTATTCAATTGGTATTTTTTTTTATTTATATCTCACAACAATTTTTTTCAAGTTATTCCATGAAATTTAAACAAATTAATCATTTTTTACTAAAATTGTTTTCTCTACAATTAACTTTTCATAACAAAAACTTTCTTTTAACTAAACTATAATATATTATCATTTTTCAAATCGAAAAATGTCCACGCAATCTTAATAAAAAAATCTAACGTATCTTTTCAACCAACAACACACAAACAATATAAAATATTCTTTATGTCCAGACATCATATTTGATATAAATTTTCGATATTTGCAACTTAAATCGTTGAAATCCGACATTTATCGATAAAAAACTTGATCATTTTTTTATTCACGAATTTAACTGAGATTTTAAACACAAATTATACTTATATATATATATATATATACCAACGCATCGTTAATCCAACATTTTTAATGGTAAACTAACAAATCTAAAGTCGACATGAATTAAACCCATTGCTAATCTTTCAGTATGAAAAATCTCTATTTAAAATCCGAACCCAAATTATAATTGGTCGGATATTCCATTTTCTGAAAACTCAATTCATTGATTCGCTCTGATCGCTCGTATTTTGCACATATTTTGATGATTTAATCACATTCCATCATTTCGTTTTCAATGAATTCATAAGATTCCTCCCATGGAATCAACGTGTGGTTTTGTTGGATGTCTCGTGTAACTTGTTTGTTTCCCGAGAAACCCCGAGAAAATGAGTCTCGAGAGAGAAAATATATAAAATAAAATTAAAAAAAAGATGCGATTTTGTTTTTTTTTTATAAGAAAACAAAAAGCTTTGGGCTTTTTCCCTCTTTCACAGCTGGATTCCTGCTTTTTCCACGGGAACGAAGAAAATAGAAACAAATTCCTCTATCATTTTCTCAGCAAACTTATCGGATTTTCTCGGCAGCAATTACAACATCCGAGCCGTGATCTCTGGTGCTCGTCGATCCCTCTGTCCCGTAAGTTGTTTCTTCCAAGATACCGCTGATGAATTGCGGTGAAATAGATTCCGACAAGTCCGGATGATTTAACTTTTGCGTGATATTTAGCTTTAGATCTTCTCTAGTTCCACTGCTATGTCATGGAAGTTGATTGGGTTACTTTAAGATTCCACTTTTCATAGCCTTGGAACAAATTTTTGAAATCGGGAGAAGTAATAACAACAAAATAGGATTCGGGCTTTCGTTTCTGCCAGCGAAAAATGGAAAATCTAAGTTTGGATTGATTCTCAGGTTTCCTATGAACTCCTGGTGCACAGAGTTATTTGATGTCAATATGAAGCTGAGCCAAGATTGAATCCAGTGGTCATCAACCTGTATAAATTCAGTGAGTAGTTTGGATTTAGCATTGGTTCATCTTCTTCTCGCACTTTTAGTTCGGTTTTTTTAATGTTCTATCTTCTAAATCTTGTCTCCAAGATGATGATGTTCATTGTTGATGAAGTAATAGTTCAATTTTGGCAGGTTTATTATATGCTTTTCTAGTCAGGGATTCTAATTTAGGAATAGATCACTCCATGCGTCAGAAACTTCAGGTTCTTCGTCGGGTAGAGGCTACCAGATTGCTTCTGTTCGCCGGTCTGGTTTTCATTTTGATTGTTGGCTTTCAATATGTAAATGTACAATATAGTAGCGTTGTATTTCTGTTATCGGCTGAGGATAAGATTCCTATATCAAGAAATGATAACAATGGAACCCTTTTGCCATCATCGGAGTCTGAAACATTGTCGGTTAAAAGCATGAGCTCCTCAAATATATATCATGCTCCTGAGGTAGATGGAAGAGAAGATGTCTTGGAGAGAAAGAGAATAGTTTCGGATGAAGGGCATATTCTTGATTCTGAAATGAAGGATTTGCAGGATACTTTCATGGAGGATGACACTGATAATGATAATGAAAGTCCCGATTTTGAAACCAGAAGAAGCTCAAATAAAAGTCTTTCATCTCCTTCTGCTTTACCCCCTGAAGATTTACCAACCGATATAGAATCCACTGAAGACGCTAGCACGAATTCTGATTATGAAAGGAAAGAGAAATTGGAGATTCTGGAGAATGAATCTGATCATTCTGTTGACAAGCTTGCTCCAGAGGTTGAAAAACTTGTCCAGGTTCCGAATTCCGGGGTCTTTTCAATATCCCAGATGATGAGCTTATTGAATCAAAGTCACAATTCTCATGTTTCACGGGTTGGTGTAGGCATCTGGAACAATCATTCGTTATTTTTCAGCTCTGTTTCATTATTAATGGTCTTCTGTGTTTTTTTCAGAAACCTAGATGGTCTTCCCCAGTTGATCGGGAACTATTATATGCGAGAAATCAAATTGAGAACTCACCAATCATAGAGAATGATCCTCTCTTGCATGCTTCTCTGTATTGGAATCTTTCAATGTTCAAAAGGTAAGGTTAACATATCAGTTTTATGCATTTCTCATAAAGTGTATACTGCTTTATCTTATCTTTCTCTAAAGCTAAGTAATAAAGGAAGCTTCTACATTTCCTTACGGGTTTTGCTTTACTACTTAGTAGCATATTTGCACCAAATGTGTGTTGTTATATCAGTTACACAATGAAATTTTTGCTGTTTGTTAAATGACCTGGATGGTTTTTTCGTTTTCAGTCTATCATTTACGTGTTCATATTTTTCACATTTGCTGTTTGAAATCAGCAGAAGCTACGAATTAATGGAGAAAATGCTCAAAGTATATGTCTATCGAGAAGGAAAACGACCGATAATGCATAAACCGGTGCTGAAAGGTATATATGCTTCGGAGGGATGGTTTATGAAGCTGCTCAAGTCCAGCAAAACATTTATCACGAAAGATCCGCATAAAGCACACCTCTTTTACCTCCCGTTTAGTTCGAAAATGTTGGAGAAAACCTTGTATGTCCCTGGTTCACATAGCGATAAAAATCTCGTGGAGTTTTTAAAGAACTATTTGGACATGATCTCAACAAAGTATCGTTACTGGAACAGAACAGAAGGGTCGGATCATTTTCTCGCCGCTTGTCATGACTGGGTGAGCATCTTTTGCTGCTTTTGTTTTATCTTGTCTTTGATCTCCGAGTTCAATGAATCACTTCCAGGTCTTGCTTGATAACTCTGTATCTGTTTTTTTCAGGCTCCATCTGAAACAAGGCGATACATGGGCAATTGCATCAGAGCATTATGCAATTCCGATGTCACAGAAGGCTTTGTCTTTGGCAAAGACGTAGCTCTTCCCGAGACAACTATTCTCTTTCCCAGGAGACCTTTGAGAGCTGTAGGAGGAAAACCTCCTACTCAAAGGCCAATCCTTGCTTTCTTCGCGGGTGGAATGCATGGTTATTTTAGGCCTCTCTTAGTAAAACGCTGGGGCGGTAGCAAGGACCCGGACATGAAAATATTCAGCCAAATGTCCAAAGGTAAGGACATGAAGAGATACATTCAATACATGAAGAGCAGCAAGTACTGTATCTGCCCGAGAGGGTATGAGGTCAATAGCCCTCGGGTAGTGGAAGCGATATTCTACGAGTGTGTCCCGGTTATCATATCAGATAACTTTGTGCCTCCGTTTTTCGAGGCTCTGAACTGGGAATCCTTTGCAGTTTTTGTAATGGAGAAAGACGTTGGGGATTTGAAGAGGATATTGCAGTCGATACCCGATGAAAAGTACCGAAAGATGCAGATGAGGGTCAAGATGGTGCAGAAGCATTTCCTCTGGCATGCTAAACCTGAGAAATATGACATCTTTCATATGATACTGCATTCGGTTTGGTTCAACCGAGTTTTTCAAAGCTAATCAAGCAACAAGCCTGGGGTTTAAGCAGGACGATTCCGAGATTCACCACCTACACCAATCCAGGTAATGAATGAAACCCTTAATTCTTTCGCTACAGATAACCGCTATAAACCACTCTGTGCACAAGGTGCGGATGGTCATGTCAAGTGCAATTATATCAGCATTTTCTGACTTACATGAGGACCTTGAACGGAAAAGCTCGTCTTGGTGATATAAATCGCAGGTAACCCTTCTAAAAACTGGCCTAAATCGCGAATATATATCTCTTTGATGTTACAAAAGCTTTCCTCTAAAGTCCCCCTTTTTACTGGGTATAATTCTGGTTATCTCTTGGTTTCGTCTTTGTTAGGTATAAAGGACAATGCAGCTGTTAAGGGTCACTTGCAGTTGCTGATTTTTCGATTTGTAAGTGTATATATACAGATGTACTCTTGAGATCAATACAACAGAAAGCACTTTTTCTTCTTCAAAGTTCTTCCTCTGCTGCCATGGACTTCCTCATCCTGAGAATGTCGAGATGGCATCAAAGCTCTAACTTGTTTTTCGCTCTTACCGCTATCCTTTTTCTTTTCCCACCCTTGTTCTCTCGTTTTCTCCTGTTCCTTAACCATGACAGACCAAACACATACCCGGACTTCTTCCACCTTGGATTTACCTTCTGCCTCTGCAATCCCAACACCCATCTCACCTTCGAACCCAGATCCCTCTTCTAACCCTCCCGTTTCTCCATCCGGCTGATTCCTCAAACCTTGTGCATGTCACCGAGAAACTTTCCGATGAGTCCAACTAGGCCATCTGGTCACGATCGATTATAAAGGCCCTAACCACCAAACACAAACTCGATTTCATTTATGGCACAATACCCAAACTTTCTGAAACTCGTACCGATTTTGGAGCTTGGTCTCGCTGTCACGCTCTTATCTGTACCTGGATAACCAACTCTATCTCTTCCGGAATAATAGCCAGTTTAATCCTTTTTCTTGAGAAGCCGGTATCATCTGGACCACCTTTGAAACCAGGCACAAACAAAAGAACGTCTCCAAAATCTTTCATGTTGGCAGAAAATCGAAACATTACAGCAGGGTACTATCGATCTCAACTCGTTCTTTACAAAACTCAATGGGCTCTAGGGGAACTAAAAAACTATGAACCTTATCCAGTTTGTTCATGTGGTGGATGCCCTTGTCAGGAAAACACAAGGTTTCTCGAGGTGAGGGGGAAGAAATCATTATATCGATGGAGAATTTGTGGGTTGGTTTCTGTAAATTGTGTTGGATTTGGGTTTATTTGATAGAATCAAAACGGGCCTAGCCCGTGAGAAGTTCGGTCCGTATAAAGTTTTAGAAACTTTAAATCTGCTTCTTATTTGAATTTGAAATTCAAATTCAAATTGGATTCAAATCCGCAAAAAATCTATCAAATATGATTGAGATAAGATTGAGATAATATCAAAATAAAATCAAATTTGAATTTTGAAATTCAAATTGATTTGTTTTGAGATTCTTCCCTCTACTATAAATAGGGGTCTTTGGGTTAGCTCATAAAAAACACACAAAAGAAACAAGCATTCTAGAGAAAAAGAGCATTCTCTCTCTGAGTTCGCTTGGTATTTGGAAAGCTTCTTCCAAATACGCGGTCGTTGTATCCTGGGAGTTCACCGTGCTCCAATAGCCTCGAAGCTTTAGAGGTGGCACGGAAATCGAACTTAAGGAAACTGTGTTTCACAGGCCTCGACAAAATAATTTTTTAATTTCAGGTACTTATCTGGAATCGCTCGAATTGCCGGAGTTTTGCCGTCGTCAACAGCCGCCGTCCCCAACAATCTTAAGTTCGATATGGTTAACACGAGGCAAACTTCTCGGGTAAGTGCCTAAATCTCCTTTTAATTTCGGTATAAAATCTTACACGAATTTGGATCTAAAACCAACTAGGTTAAAAAAAAAAAGTGTTGAAAAAAAAAAAAACCAAATAGTTGTTTTGTGAAGCCCAAATTGAGTTTAAGGCCCAAATTTAAAATTGAAGCCCAAATTCAAAAAGATTAATTGAAAAGCCCAAAAGAGTAAGCCCAAATTGAAAAGTTTAGTCTTGGCCCAATTTGAAGAGATTAATCTAAAAGTCCATAAGAGAAAGCCCAATATATTTAAAAGTGTTTTGTGAGAAGAAAAAAAAAGAATATTATTATTTATCTTTTTTGGAAGAAAAGAAAAAGGTTAAACAAAATCGGAAGTAACTTTTCCTGTAAATTGGGGAAGCAAGCTTTGTCTTAGCGGGCCGGGTTTGAAGAGGAAGCCCTTTATACCCTCCTCATAGTAAGGACGTGGGAATCAGGGTGAACCCTCCTCCGGCTATCACTGGAAGCGAGCAAAACCAATTTATAAGTTAAGTGAAACTCGGTTTAGTTTATAAGCTTTGTGAAAGCTAACAATAATTGGATTTATTCAACAGATCATTGATAATCCAAGAAATCCCATGGATTCAAATACTGCTC